TTTTCTGGATATCTTTCTCCTTTTCTGGATATCTTTCTCCTTCTCCCTGTATAGCTCCTCCTGTATACCTTTCTCTCCTGATTTAGAAATCTAGATTTTTTTTTTCACTGTTCTAGAAGTGATTTTCTATTTTCAGCTTGTACACGTTGTTCTTGATTTGGGTATAAAATTTCTCAACTCATAGTAATGACAACAGAAGTGTCATAGAATCATAGAATTTTAGGGGTTGGAATGGAGCTCAGAGCTCACCCAGCCCCAAGCCCTGCCCTGGGCAGGGACACCTCCCAGCAGAGCAGGTTGCTCAAGGCTCATCCAACCTGGCTGTGAACACTGCCAGGGTTGGGGCAGCCACAGCCTCCCTGGGCAACCCATGCAGAATGTTAATATGTCCATGTCCTTTCTTCACAGCTGTAACCTGCCCCAGCATAGAGACTCTACTCTCAGAACATGTTGTCTGGAGACTGATTTCTGGCTCACTGAATGAATATGGAGCTCAAGTCATGCTCAGCTGCAGTCCTGGGTATTATTTATTGGGTCGGAGGCTCATACAGTGCAGGACTAATGGAACCTGGAGTGTAGGCAATGAAAGGCCAAGCTGTAAGGGTAAGGAACATACTTGTTTACAAAACATCCTATGCTTTTTAAAACATAGGTTATATTTTATGGAGTCTTTAATATACTATTTTCCTATAAGTAAGGAAATGGGAAACTTTCATGAACTTGAAATTGGTTTATTCCAACTCTTTATATGCTATGTACAATGTGTTTCATACAGGAGTCAGTGAAGTAGCACAGGAGATGAGTCTGTATTTATTCAACTAGATAGTGCTAAGAATTTAGAAAAGATTAGGAAATAATGTTATTACTTTAGAAGATTCCAGATTAGAGTTAGATTAGGTGATGATATTGCTTTGACCTCTTGGGTGAAGCATAAAAACTGTACTGTTGAAGGAACATAGATATGAGCTCTTAGAATGTCTTCATACAAAAGTGCCATAATTTACATCAGTCCTGAGTTTGGCTGTTTAAAGTTTTAGAGAACCTTAATATTCTTGGCTGGATCATACAGTTGCCAAGTGTTTTAATGTCAAAGTCTTAATAAATCCCTCCAAAACTTCATTTTTGCTTCTCCTATGTGTTGTTTAGTTTGGTTGCAGAGAGCATTTGGCACATCAGCTAGTTCTGCTACCCTAGAACTAGGCCACAGAACTAGATAGATAAACCCAAGATGTTCCTGGTTGAAGATACCTTAGTTAATTTATAAGAAAGGTACAGTATTTTGCCCTCTGATAGAGAACTGACCAGGAATTTATAGCAAACATTATCCCCCAAGAGATATTCAGTAATATTTCCATTGGATGTAGGTCATTAAGATCCAGGAACAGACTGTAGAGCATTTAGAGGAGTTCACTTTCTCTGCCATTCACATGCTAAGGTTAGATTGTATAAATATAGTTTCTAGCTGTTAATATTTCTGAAGGAGTTGGAAAGCTAATGGAAACAACAATGATGAGGTGTTTAGATGTATTTATCAATATCTAATTTTCAATAGTATCTCTAAAGGCATGGGAAAAAAATCAAATTAAAGGGGGTCTGGATTAAGAGAGACCTAAGTAGTCAGTTTATTTTTGTAAGACTATACTGAACAGATGCCTAACAAATTATGAGCTAGCTCATTATTCATCCAGTTTAGTTATTTTTAACTGGAATCACTGTAATTAAAAAGGAATAAAGCATTTGTAATATGTTTAGAACAGTTCATTCTATTGCCTTTTGGGAAAAGAGTAATTTTTTGACATAAGTATAATTATTGTTCAGCATTAGCATTAGAAATGTTAGACTAATCCACAAATGCCATTGATGTGAGTTGATTGTGGTCAGAAGGAGTCTACCTTATCTCTGGAAACCTCATGTGCATGAGAAACTGTGGTCACACATGTTCTGATCATGAGTGGGTTAACTGCATCGTGACAGGTACATGATTTTTCCAACTTCTACACAATTCCATGTTGGTTTCTCTAGTGAACCTCTGAAAATGTAGCAGAATGTGACCTTGAGGTTTTTTCAGACAGGGTGTTTAGTCTTTGAAAGGAGCCCCATGATTTATGCTGCCATACTATAAAGTACACTGGAAGCTCCTGGAGGCATTGATCTTGATATTATTGATAGATGTTTCTAGAAACAGAAGACAGAATGGCCTTAATTAGGTTAGATCTTGAGACATCCTTAAAAGCTGTTTCATCCCGTGGTGCCTGTAGTAGAGTGAGTTGCAGCTGATGCTGCAGAAGGTTTCTGTGTTAGTGGGTCAAGTCTAGCCTTAAGCTAAACCAGATTTCTCATCCTAGCACTATATATGGGATAGGATTATGCATAGTAGTGGAAAATAAGACAAAAGACAGTTCACAGCCATTCAGAGTACTCCATTTTAACAGGATATATAATGTCTTTAAACAGACACAACACTTGCAATGGCCAGGGAAAGTGTATTTGAGATATTAGAGTATGTGCATCTAGAATTCCCTTGTTTCAGAACTAGAAATGCAGATTGGGGTTAAGCTGCTGTCAAGATATGAAGAGATCCTAATGAATTTTCAGATTTAGAACGTGTTGCCAAATTAGACACAATTTGAAGCCTTTTCTTAAGAAATTGCATTCCTTTCTGTGATGTACAACTCTATTTCTTCCTGTTCCAGTTACTTGTTACGAAAAGGTGAGGTGATGTATTGTCTTCCATCCTAAAACAAAGGATGAAAAACAATTTCTTATTTCAGTGTGTTCTGTTATTTGTTTTTCTTCCTAGTCATCTCCTGTGGTGGTCTTCCATCTCCACCAAATGGAAACAAGATTGGGACCTTAACAGTGTATGGAGCCACTGCAATATTCACCTGTAACACAGGATACACACTGGTTGGCTCCCATGTGAGGGAATGCTTGGCAAATGGTCTCTGGAGTGGGACTGAAACCCAGTGCTTAGGTAAGAAAAAACAACCACAACAGCAAACTGATTTCTTTGTTTTGTTTTGTCTGAAGGAAACTGGAATTCAGCTCTTACCAAGCACCAACTCTTTGCCTTATGAAGGAAACTGGAATTCAGCTCTTACCCAGCACCAACTCTTTGTCTTCAGTATGGAAATATTTTGTACTGCGTAAGATTTAATGCTGTTCCCTTAGCATATGTCTCTTGAGTAGAAATTAGATGATATTTTATGTTGTTCTAATGCTTTTCAAGCCAGCAGGTTTTTAGGTGGCTCAAACAATTGCACATAGTCACAGCATTTTTCTTAGTAGAGCAGGGAATGTGCTGAAACTAAGTCGGAAGATAAGCTTCAGTTCAGGAGTATTCCTGGTGCATTCCAGCCCCAAAGGAGCAGTCAACAGACTGATTTCAGTCAAGGGAAATCAAGGGAAGCAGACAAGAGGCAGCCAAAAGTACAGCAAACCCAACACCCTTCCAAAGCCTGAGATTTATATAGTTTGGACCTTAAGTTCTCACTCCAACTCTTTTCTCTTCACGTCCACTCAAAGGTTTACACTCCTAATATAGACACAAGAAGAAGGTTCTCTCTATGAGTAACCTTTGAGGCTCAGCAGTGGGTTTATTCTTGACTGTGGACAGTATATTTCTTTCTGGGATCTGTTATTTGTTTCTTCTGCCCTGGTTTTGTAGATTTTCTCCTTGCCTTATAGCTGAATGCACTCAGCTGCTCTTGGGAATGGAACAATCTCTCCTTTCTTCTCCAGAGTTCAACCTCACTAAAAACACCATTCTTCTCTGCTGCCTCACCATGTCATTTTAGCACAGGACTCTTGCAGGAACTGTTTGTCTTATGCTGCTTCCCAATTCTGTTTCTAGAAGCTTTGGTGGACTTTGATTCCTATTTGTCTGATTGCAGTGTTGATTTCAACCCTATGCTTAGAACTGTTAAATGCAGGAATCTACCCCACTATAAAAAAAAATCACATTTACAGCTGGCAGGTTGTTAATCACTGCTTAGTCTTTGCTCTTCCAAAATCAGGCAAGATGTACAGTGCCAAAAATCCTGCACAGCTTTGAGAGTGAAAGTCTGAATCTGAGTTACACATGCATCCAGCAGGAGGTTGTATTTCTGCTACTAAATCCCTTCCTGCCACTGTTACATCTCTCACATCAGGTGTATTCACACCATGTACTTTAGACACCTAATTTAGATGCAATTTAGAGTACAATCTAAGGCCCTAAATTCCCACCAAGGTCAATGGAACTATGCAGTCTCCTCCAGAGAGCAATTCAGGCAAAGCCAATCTTAAATTCTAAAGCTTCATGATGTGAGTGCTGCTACTTGTGCATTCCTAAATTTCAAGGACAACATGCCCCAAATTTATTTCAGAGGTGCCTTTAGGATGTACCTGAAACCTGTGAAAATCAGGAGGCAAACACCCAGGGAGCTCTGAATGAGCCTTTCCATTTCAAAGGAATGATAATGAGCCAGAGATGTTTTTTTTTTTACCTACACTGTACCTGCATGGATGCAATTCAGGACAGCCATAGGTGAAAATAGGTATCACTCTATGTTACCCTCTGGTCTGTGGAGAATCAGTTTATGATTTCAGGCCACATGAGTACACTAATTTCAGTAGGGTCATAGTATCATAGAATTTAAGGGGTTGGAATGGATCTTAGGGATCTTCCAGCCCCAACCCCTGCCCTGGGCAGGGACACCTCCCAGCAGAGCAGGTTGCTCAAGGCTCATCCAACCTGGCTGTGAACACTGCCAGGGTTGGGGCAGCCACAGCCTCCCTGGGCAACATTTTAATTCACACTTTCCTGAGGAGAAAGGCAACATTACTAAGATGCTTCACCTTAAAAGAACTAAAACTATCATCTCTAGTTTGACACCTCAAAACTTGCCCTGCACAGTACAAGAATTGACTCTAATCTATTGTTTATTGAAAGAAAGGTAGAAATTTTGTGTCCCCCTCAGCACTCTTGCAAATGTTGGCAAGGCTTGCCAGTCTCTGTTTTTGATGGGTCGTTCTTTCATTGCAGCTGGTCACTGTGGTTCTCCTGACCCAATTGTCAATGGCCATATCAGTGGAGATGGGTTCAGCTATCGTGACACTGTAGTGTACCAGTGCAATCCTGGCTTTCGACTCGTGGGCACCTCTGTCAGGATTTGCCTGCAAGATCACAAATGGTCTGGACAAACTCCTGTTTGTGTCCGTAAGTATCATTCATTTTTCCCTGAATTATTTACTGTCTTAAACAGAGTTGAACATTCACCTGTGGATGGAATGTTCCAAGGTGTTTTGAATGAGGTGCTCGGGTCAACTATTTATTAGGCCTGTTTTCAATGCCAAGGGTCACTTTGATCCAGTTTCTAGCTAGCACAGCCTGATTAACTATACTCAGTAATTTCTGATTTCTGTTGGTCCAAAACCTTGATGACATAGGGATTGAAGTGGGTTGGGCAGTAGGTTGAACTGTGTAACTTAATCTACCAGTTTTTTTTCTCCAGGCATAATTGTTATGTCAGGTGTGGGTTTACTGAGCCTCTCCACTGGTTTTTTCACTAGGAATAAAAAATCCCTTTGTATATTTTCAGTGTTTGGGGGACAAAGCTGGAACACTGTTCACCTGTGCAGTTTGGATGGTCACTGTCCATTTTTCCAAGTTGGCCTACCAGTGCCAGCCCAGGCATGCTTGGATTATACTCCATCTACTAGAAATGATGTAACTTTTTTATACCCTTTAATAGGATTTTTTTTTTGCTCTTAAGTCACGTCTTCTTGAAGATCCCATAATTAATTGCTAGAATTGCTGAGTCTTTTCTACTCTACTTCCTTCTTCATTTGCATGGCAAGTTTTCTGACATTTTCTGAACCATCAGCCATTTAACCAGTCAAGTCCAATTTCTCTGTTTTTTTTTTCTATTTTGCTGTTTTATTATGTAGTTGAATTGGTTTTCTTTTTCATTTCATTTTTATTAAAGGTCCCTGGTTTTTTTGCAACTTGTGTTATTTTTAATGGAGCATTTCTATCAATTATTTCAATGTGCTTTTTGAAGATATCTGGAATTCAGACAGAAGAATTTTCATCCACACAGTGACTGAGATGATCAGTTTTCCTGTTTAGTTCATGTTAGTATCCTTGGTTCATTTCTGAGAAGATACATTACTGATAAGTCATTAGATTTCAAAATGTTCAGTATTTTCTTTCTTAGTGGTAAAAGGAAAATTTCTACCTGTACACAGCTGCAGGAAATAGCTGCCAAGTGTCATTGTCCTTTTAAAATCCTATTTATATCTTCAAGTGATTTATATTCATCAAAGGAGAAATGTCAGCAGCCAGAATTTTTACTTTTACTGGATTCATTTCACCGTGCAGGGAATAAAATCCCTTCAAAAGGAAGAGGCAGAGCTGGGGGATGGGGAGGGGAAGGGGTTGCTGTGTGGAGGCTGTTTCCTCCTAAATGGATGTTTTCATTAGTGTTATGAGGAGAAGATCTGGCATCAATTTTTGTCATTACAAGTTGCCTAATGTTTTCTCTTACAACATGTTTTATTTTGCTTAGAATCCTGCCAGACTATAGAGCTGTAGGAGATGGTTTTGTTTCTTGTGAGCATCCAAACTTCACAAGAGAACCAAAAGAAAGGGATAAACCTGTGTATAGGGTATTTATCTGAGTATGATGAACATCACTAGCACAAAGCTGGAAAGTTCTGTTTGTGCCTGTGTGTATATATATTCTGATTTAATATTGCCAGTATCTCTGCTTTTCTATATTTTTCTATATTTTAATATCTTGTCATGTGCAAAACTTCAGCTTGACCATAATCAGCTTATTTTATAGGTTTTATTTGAGCACAAACACACATAATACACGTAACGTGAAAGATTTACTCCCAACAGTGATTCCTCTCTTGTCATAAGAAAATCAGATTCATGAAGAACCCAAGAATCACTACTTCAGCAAATCCATGCAAAACCTTTGGAACAGGAATGCTTCAGAACTCCAGAATGCTCTGAAGTAATGCATCAAATTCAATTTCTTTGGCCCTGCTACATTTATAAGCTTGCAGGGAATAAAATGTTTTATATGTGTTTGCAGGTTCTAAAAGTTTTCTTGAAAAATTAAGATTTTTTTTTTTTCCCCTGGGAGTTAAGAACTCGGAATAAATACAGCCTATATTTTTTTTCTTAAATTTCTCGTGTAAATCTCAAAGGCAAATTCATAAGGAAAAAAAAAAACAACAAAAGACTGCCAACCTACAAATGATTCCACGGATCACTTACCTTTCACTTTGAGGTTAGCCTGCCTGTTTTTCTTCTAACAGCAATCACCTGTGGACACCCTGGGAATCCAGCTCATGGGGTGACTAATGGAAGCGAGTTCAATTTGAATGATGTTGTCAATTTTACTTGCAACACTGGGTACTTACTGCAGGGAGCTAACCGAGCTCAGTGCCGAAGCAATGGGCAGTGGAGTAGCCCTTTGCCCAACTGCAGAGGTAAGAAACCTTTTCTTCCATTCTTTGTTCCCCATGTCCAGTTGGCACCAGTCACTAGTGGTGCTCCCCAGGGTCAGTGTTAGGTCTAGTGCTCTTTAATATCTTTGTTGATGATTTGTATGAGGGGATTGAGTGCACCATCACCAAGTTTGCAGATGACACAAAGCTGGGGGGAGTGTGGATCTGCTGGAAGGCAGGAGGGATCTGCAGAGGGACCTGGACAGGCTGGAGAGATGGGCTGAGTCCAAGGGGATGAGGTTTAACAAGGCCAAGTGCTGGTCCTGCACTTTGGCCATCCCAATGCCATGCAGAGCTCCAGGCTGGGACAGAGTGGCTGGAGAGCACCAGGAGAAAGGGACCTGGGAGTGTGGAGAGACAGGAGCTGAGCAGGAGCCAGCAGTGTGCTCAGGGGGGCAAGAAGGCCAATGGCATCCTGGGCTGGAGCAGGAACAGTGTGCTCAGCAGGACCAGTGCAGCTAGAGATTATTTTCCTTCCTCCTGGAAAAGCTGCAGTTGACAGCAGAGTCAGAGATTTACAGTGGACAATGGAGTCTAGTTATCTCCTGGGACAACTGCTGCAACTAGAGGTTTGCATGGACAGTGGATTTTCCCTTCCTTGCAGTCTAGAGATCCATGGTGTGCACTGGAGTCCTTGGGAAAGTTGCTGCAGTTAGAGGTTTATGGTGGTTTGTTGTTTCCTGTGGTTCCAGTCCAGCTATAGCTAGAGGTATAAGGAGAATTTCCTAGTTTTGCTTCTCCTTCTGCAAGCTCAGGAAGATTTGAGGCAAACAACCAGGCCCTTGCCACACAACAAGCTGCCAAAGCCAGGCAAGGTCAAAACAAACATTTCTTAGAGGTCCTTTACAACAGGAGGTGAATCATGTGAGATATACTGAAATATCTCAAAAGCCTGGAAAAAAATGATTGAGATACTGTATATCCTTCAGTGCTCTTCTTGGGAAGGCTCCAGAAAAAAGAGTATTTTTATGGCTCTTACTTCAGATGTTGTTCCTGGTCAAACTGAAAACTGGAATTGTTTGGGCTTATTTATAAATTTGACTAACAGTGCTAATTTCCAAACATGTAAACCAAAAAGGAACTGGTCTAGGAGGAACTTGATGATTTTTCCTGCTATGGAACATACAAATATACAGAACATAAAAATTTCTCCAGACACACAGAGGCTTGTAAAGTTTTCTTGGGTATTTTCTTTCACTGGAAAACTGTTAATTCAGTGTGAGTGCAATGCTTTCTGTTCTTTGTCTTTAATGAGCTCAAGGTAATTGCAGCCAGGGAAGGAACAAACATCAGGACTAAAAATCATGGAATAAGAAGTTAACTTCAGCTGTTGTACCTTGATTATCTCCACCTGTTGGTTTATTAAAAATCTTATTGCATTACAATGGTTGTGCCTAAGAATAATAATCATCTTTGGTGATTACCTCATCATATTGTTTCAGAGATAGCTGATGCAATTTCAAGCTCAGTGTGTGTGGAATTAGATCTTTCACTCTAATTAAAACAATAAAGAGATGGCAATTCCCTCAGTCACCACCCTCAGAATTTATTCAAGGGAGTTAACTGGCGTAGCAATATAATTATTGGAACAGAGAAACAGGAATTGGCAAACAGTTTCTTTTTAGGCTCAAGTGTTGTTTGCTTCCCTTTTATACTGTTTTGCTTTGCTAGACTTTAGTGAACAAACTCCTCTGTCGCTTCTGTGAGGTGTTTAAGTAAGGTTTTATTTCTTGGAAAAAAAGTATGAACATAGAATTAGGACCCTTACAGTTAATGCAACATTATTTAGGGCTGGACTTGATGATCTTTGAGGTCTTTTCCAATCCTGTAGATTCTATGATTCTATGATTATTTCAGTTGTCTCTTGACTCTACTTTCATTGTCCTTTTTAATTTACCACAGGAATTTGAGTTAATCCAGGCCAATATATGGTCTGAAATCTTGTTTTAAAATTTATATTTAATTCTCTTGGTATATTTAGCAGTTTGTAAGGATGTGCAATAATTTTTTTCTGGACTGTTGAGGTCACTGATTTGTGAGATAGGACATTTTCATCTCCACAAGGACCATTTTTACCTGTATTTATTTGAAGAAGAATAGGTCAAATAGTCAGTTTCCTTGCCCTGAAACTGGAATTAAATGACATGATAAAAATTCCAATACCCAAATCTCTGTTCTCCTCCCCAAACCTGCCTGGGCAGGACTTGATGCATCCTGAACGTGCTACCGCAGAACAAACTATGAAAGTATTAAATGCTCAACCAAGTATCTTCATGTGGGATTTTTTTTTCCATTAGCAGCTTGGAACTCCTTTCCATTTTGTCTTTGGAAGCACAGAAAGCCAATCTCCATGCTTTCTACTTTTCATACTCACTGTTACCCAGTAAAATGAGAACTGAATCAGACTCTCATCAGGGCTCTGCACTCCTGATTGCACTGCAGGTCATTTTTCCAGATATTATGCTTGCAGTAAGATCTGCTGTAATAACAACCACACTTCTAGAATGCATTTGCAAGAAGCAGATTTTCTTGCTCAGATTTCTTTGCTTTGGCACTGGATAGACTGACTTATCTCTTGGTGCCTGTATGAAGGCAGAGTCATATTCATAATCAGTATTAGGAAAAGTCTATAGCTTTGCTGCTGTTCCCTTCAGAATTAATTGCATCTCCCTAAAAGTGCAAGGTCCTACATCTGAGCCATGGCAATCCCAGGCACAGCTCCAGGTTGGGTGGGGAAGGGATTGAAACCAGCAGTGAGGAGAGAGACTTGGGAGTGACAGTGGGTGAGAAGCTCAGCATGAGCTGCAGTGTGAGCTCAGCCCAGAAACCAATGGAATCCTGCTGGATTTATTGATGGAAACCAATAAAATAAGAGAGACCAGCAAAAACTAATGCCCAGGAAGTTCCACCTGAACACGAGGAAGAACTTCTTTGCTGTGCAGTCCCTGAGCACTGAACAGATTGCCCAGAGAGGTCGTGGATTCTCCTCACTGCAGATATTCCAGACCCCTCTGGACACAACCCTGAGCCATGAGCTCTGGGCTGGCCCTGCTGGAGTAGGAGGTGGGACCAGTGACCCACTGTGGTCCCTTCCAACCTAACTCATTCTGGGATTCTGTGAAATACTTCATGATATGCCCCCAGAGTTTGTCCTACTCTGACAAAAGTTACCATGTCGCTACTGCTTGTACATAGATGCCCCCAAAGGACTTTACATACAGACAACACATGTAGAGAAAAATAACCGGTAAGCACTTCATCAATCTGATCAATCTGCTATTCTAATACCTGGAAAAAAACTGGGAAGTTATTGTTCTTGCATATTGTTGAGGTCAGATATTAGGAAGAAAATTTTTTGCAGAGAGAGTGCTCAGGCATTGGGATGTGCTGCCCAGGGAGGTGGTGGATTCCCCATCCCTGGAGGTTTTCAAGCTGAGACTGGATGTGGCACTTAGTGCCATGGGCTAGTGACCACGGGAGGGTTGGACTTGATGATCTTGGAGGTCTCTTCCAACCTGGTTGATTCTATGATTCTATGACTTTGCCTGAGAAAGAATGAGTCCAAAATTTTAGTAATAATCAATGCAGTGCTTTCTTTCTTTATATAGACAGCATTTTTTAGAGCTTGGCATAAAGTCAGAGTGAATTTTCTCCTCTTTATTCCCTCTGAGTGTCAGTCCCTATACATGTTCTAGATACTGACATTGATGCAATACTTTTCAAATAAAAAAGTTTCCAAACACTTTTGATCAGATATGGAAGTTTATAAAAGAAAGTTAACATTGTTTTTGTCAAGAAGAAGAGAAAAAGGAGAGAGAGTGAGAATAAGAAATGAAATCCTGTGGATGATGTACTTTTTGATGATCACTCAACTTTTTTAACAGAAAACTGCCCTAAAGGGCTCTGACGTGGCCTTTTCACTTCTTTGTCCTCAAGGGTTTGAATCAACTCCATGTGAGACTCCAAAGTTTTCAGGGCAGGCTTGAAGGATTCTGCAGCTTTTCTCAACAGACTACATTGAGCCTGCCAGAATTCATTTCCCATGAAAGCCTTGACAGGTGTCATTGAGAGAAAGCAATCTCTGTCTGCTCTCCCTGGGAGTTACACCGGAGTCCCCAGGGTGAGAGGCAATCAGGGAACATCCTGCCTTAGCTCTCTATGCTGGCCAACTCCAATTCTTTCCTAAAGTCCTCCTTGCTGCAGCTCTTCTTAGCAACAATACACTTGTGGAGAGATTTAAAAGTCAATGAAGGCACTGCAGGCATAATGTGGTTTGCTCCTTAGCTTGAGGGAGAGAATTCTCCTGCATAGTCGTTTGATAAAGCTTCATGTATGATGCAAGGATTTGGTTGCACAGAGCACATGTTTAAATTATGCATTCAGTGACTAGTCTGTATTTTATTCATCACTGAGTTGTCTAAACAGATGCTGCTGGTGCAGGAATGAGGGAACATTGTATCACACAGGCAAATTGATCCTGCGCAATATATTGCTTGAATATTCCATATTTCTGGTCTGCATGGAGAAAGAAGTTTTTCTCTTCTCCCTATTGACTTTCCAAGACAGTTGAGTTAGAATTGCTTTTGGGTAGCTTCAGGGCAGCATTTCTTCATGAAACAAAATGCTTTTTACTTAATTTCTAATCCTGACTTTCCAGATGCTAATTAGACACACTCAGCCATTAAACCAAAGTTCTCATTTCAAGCAGTTATATTTGATTTTGTTTCATTTGGATAATCTCAGCTTCACTAAAAAAAAAGGGACAGCTCTTGTGAATGCTTGTTAAAAATTATACCAAGGGAAAGGCTTGAGTAATCCACAGGATGGGGAGAAGTTTTGCTAATAGCTTTATCCATGGATGTGCAAAAACTTGGATAAATGTGAGAATTTTGCAATATGCATCAGATTATTCTCCTGTTTCAATAGACTGTTCTGATATGAATTGGAATAAGTTGGACTATTAAATTCAGTGTTCTGTTTCAACTAAGCTAGTACATATTTGGGTGCAGTAGTAATGATTTTCACTAAAATGCAGTGAAAAAAACCTTTTTTTGAGCAAATTCTAACATATCATTTGACTGTTTATTTTACTGCTGTTCACTTCAGGGTGTTTTTATCTGTGCAGTATTCCACAACTTCTCACTACAAATAAGCATTCCATATTATAGTTAAGGAAATAGCACTTTCTGATATTCTGGAGTTCTCACAACTCTCAGATGAAGTTTCCATGTGACTGATAGTCCATGAAGCCATGACAGGTTGGTTGCTCTTCTGCTCTGGAAAGCTTTTTTCTTTTTTTATAGGTTTCTGCCTGTAGATTTCTACTAACCTCCCCATCCAACAAAGAGAGTATCAGAACTTCTGCTGTATTTGTGTCCCTCATTCAGAACTTCAGGCACTGCACTGCTCTTCTCACCAGAGCACCCTATCTTGGAGGCTCTGTGTGAACACAGCAAGTGCTGCTCTCCATGGCAAAGCACTTGTAGAATATATATTCTGTCTTCATGTAGACTCTCATGAAAACATAGCAATGATGGTTTTTAAATGAGGCTCAGATAAGGTCTAGAACACATGTCATATGAGGAAGGGCTGAGGGTTTGTTTAGCCTGGAGAAGAGGCTCAGGGGTGACCTCCTGGCTCTCTGCAACCTCTGCCAGGGCTGGAGAGAGGTGTGGGATGTGTGTCCTGCCAGGGCTGAGGGAGAGGAGAGAGGGAATGGCCTTGAGCTGAGCCAGGGCAGAGTCAGATTGGGGGTGAGGAGAAATGTTTCCCCTGTTGTGGTGTTCAGCACTGGGATATTGCCCAGGGAGGTGGTGCAGTCACCATCCCTGGAGGTGTTTCAGAGGTGTCTGATGTGGCACTGCAGGATCTGGGTTAGGGTTTGGGGGTTCCAGCAGTGACAGGTTAATGGTTGGACTTGATGATCTTAGGGGTCTCTATGATTCTAAGTAGATTTTTATATAGTTTAACATATCAGTCTTAATATGTCCTGTACTCTTGAGTAATCTTTGTCATGCTCTTTTTTGTATAAAGATGATAATGGTATTATCTGTACTAGTACTACACAAATAATGATAGCAGGAGTAATAGTAGCATTAAAAATGAATGAGCCATTACTAGATTTAGCACTAGATTTTAGTAAACCACAGTTTAACTAGAGTAAACTAGATGGTTCTAGGATTCTATATCAAATGGACCACAGTCATGAGCTCCGAGTAAACAAAAATCATTGTTACACTTAGACATTGCTATTATGCACAAGTGATGATGAACATCATTTCTCTTCCAGTGGTGAACTGCTCTGATCCTGGATTTGTGGAAAACGCGATTCGACATGGGCAGCAGAATTATCCTGAAAGCTTCAAGTATGGAACAAGTGTGGCATATCATTGCAAGAAGGGCTTTTACCTGCTGGGCTCCTCTGCACTGACCTGTAAAGCCAATGGCTTATGGGATAGGTCACTACCAAAGTGTTTGTGTAAGTATTTATTCAGCTGGATGAGCATCAAGGAGTGGTGCAAGATCTGCAAACATGATAGACAGAAAAAAAATTGTAGGAAGGAAGGAAAGAAAGAAAATTTGACTTTAGGATCAACGTATTTTTCCCTGTTATGGTGTTCAGGCACTGGGATCAATTCCAGTGGTGCAGTCACCATCCCTGGAGGTGTTTCAGAGGTGTCTGATGTGGCCCTGGAGGATCTGGGTTAGGGTTTAGGGGTTCCAGCAGTGACAGGTTAATGGTTGGACTGGATGGCCTTAGAGATCTCCTCCAACCTTGATAATTCCATGATTCTATATTGCAAATTCTACTTCTCAGTAAGAAAACTTTCAGACAAGAGACAATGCAATTTGCCATTATTATAAATGTATTTTTAATACATTGAAAAATGAACTATTATTTAAAATGCCAGAAAGTTAACATTAATTTCATCTTTTGATGAATTGTTAAGCTACCTGAAAACAGTTAGGGAAATTTAGGATGATTATTTATATGCTATAATCTTGATAGATATTCTAAGACCATTAATACCTGTATCAGACTTTTTTTTCCCAGAGTTACTGAAGAATGTGAGGGTAAATCTGTGAAATGTTGTGTAGAAACAACTTCATCCTTCCTCTGCCACTTTTTCCTCAGAGGGGGAGAAAATCTTCTGCTGCTTCCTATCATCAATTCAGTGAGCTGCAGAGGTTTAAAAAATTATAGTTTGGCTGACTTTAATTTCCATTGAGATATTTCTCTTCTCTGATCACTATTAATTTGCTGACATGAGTTCTGAATTCCCATGCAATGATAGGAAATAACAAAGGAAATCAAAGGATACTTTCATTTGAAACACATCAGACTATTTAAATGGTTTTGCTTGACTAAGATGATTTATTTTAGGAATTTATACTCATAAGCCAGAGCAATAAATGTAACTAGATTAATGAATTTATTTCTTTGTTGTTCTACTATGTGTTTAACTTCTGCATAACCCAAGCAGTTTTTGTTTTGATTTCTCACACAATCTGTACTTTTGTTGTGGTTTAACCCCAGCAGCAGCCAAGCCCCACACAGGCACTCACTGGCCCCAGTGGGATGGGGAGAGAACCAGGAGTATCTTCAGAGTGAAGAGATCCTCCTTCTGCAAGGGGCAGGAGAGGATGGGGAATGCAAACCACCTGGAATAGCTATCCATCTTTCCACACCCAGTGATTTGGAATTTCATAGCATTTACAGGACTTTCTGCTTTTAGTCAGAGCCAAAGAGAGTCAGAATTATCCAGCCCTTCAGAACAGGAATTCCTGACCTTGCTCTGGGGATTATTGATTGACATCACAGGAACTTTCAAATGAGCCTGGGAGGTGTCTCCATTCCTCAGTCACCTCCTGGATTAATTGCTGCTAATTTGCTGCTGATGAACTGAAACACCTTCTGAATCCTGGTTATCACCAGGACAGAGTTAAAGCTCTGTGGAATGAGTCTGAATCCTGGTTATCACCAGGACAGATTTAAAGCTCTGTGGAATGAATAGGGCTCTTTGGGAGAGAGAAATGCTTATCTATTCACAGATTAAGTCACTCAGAATCTTTTCAAGTGCTGTAAGAGATGTGATTTTCAAAAGTTGTCAGTGCTAATCTTTTTGTCAAGTGTAAGATTGATTTTAGTCTAGAGGAAAAGTGCTTGGAAAGGCAGGAAGATAAATTTTGAACCCAAAGTGGACAGTTAGCCATGAACAATTTTAGTTCAGGAGTGAACAAACAGAAACACATATGCAAGGAAATAACTATGTGTGTCATTGCTGAGAAATGCATGCTGTTT